TCAGGCAGCTCCTGGGGGCAGAGTAGAGCCCACACCTCCTGGTGCTGGAGGCTGAGGAGGGATGTGGTGTGAATAAGGCAGCAGCCCCAGGTGTGTCTCTGCTGTACAGACACAGGGATCTGGGCTCAGACTCCTCCAGCTGTACTTTGTCTACTGTTGGTTTTTAAAGATGAAAAACTGGGTCATGCCACATACCTGTCTCAGACTCTAGGTCAGGGCTTCTCCCCGATTCTGGATACACAGGACCACCTCCTACGTATCCCATCCCCTCAGGGTCTTCAACCGGCCAAGAGCAGAGCCCACCCATCTTCCTCTTCAGTGTTCCATCGTGTCACCCGGGGGAAGTCATTCCCCTCTCAGGGCCTCAGTTTCTTCACAAGGCCCGGCACTAAGCTCAAAGGGTGGGTGAAATTATGCCCAGATTTCAAGACCCCCCCAAAGATCTACCAGGGAGCAGCAAATCTGATGCAAAAGCAGAGAGTCTTTTATTCAAGCTAGCTTGGTCCCCCCCTGCCTCCCTTACGGGATGCGAGAGAGAGCCCCGAGTCCCAAGAGAACAAAGGTTATATAGGGCTAGTCATTTGGGCGGGCTTAGGTACGTGACGTGAGTTACAGAGATTGGTCACTCTGGTCAGGGTTTTTCAGCAGGGTTTTACAGCACAAAGGTCAGGAAGTGACCAACACATTCTGAGGTTTGAGCCGTCCCCCACTATAGCTTTATTAGGACCTTAGCTGCGTTCCTGGAGCTTCATTGGTCCACTCAGCTGGTGGCTGGGGGAGTTAGGACATTACGGGCATTCCCATGGTCACTCTCAGAAAGGGGAGGGGGGTTAGGCTGAGGGCCCAGCCCTACAAGATAGAGTGGAGGAGAGTTCGTTTCTGCTTTGTCCTTTCAAAACAATGTCTGGATTCTTGAAATCTCAAAGGAAATCGTTTACCCCCATCAGCCTCAGCTGCAGCCTTGTGGGCAGCCTCAGGGCAGCCAGGCCACAAGGACAGAGGATTGGACACACCTACCTTTCCCCACCTCCTCTGCTTCCTCCATATCACCTCACATCCACCTGCTCTAATTCCTCCACATCCGCCCACAGCCACTTCTGCTTCCTCCGCAGCACCCCAACAACCCCCTTCGTCTGGGGGCTCTGGCTCCTGTCTCAGCTAGCCCAAGACTGTGCTGAGCTGGAGGGGTCATTGTGAACCCACCGGAGCAGTGTCCCCTTCCTCTGCGCTATTTATGGCCACAGGGGGAAGAAGGAACCCTCAGACAAAACTGGGTTCCAATCCGGTTCTGCCACTGCTTTCATGTGCCCTTGGGCCCATTACCACCCCCACACCACCCCCATCTTCGGGTTCCCTCATCTATACAATAGTGACAATAATACCTGTCTCAGAAAGTGTGAGGATGAGAAGAAGGGGCGCGCTCCTACCCTCCCAACTTACCTAGAATCTTGCTCTGGCTGATTTGGAACAAGACCCACTTGTTCGTAGATGTGCACATCCACTGGGCAGCTGTGTCTGCACAAACACTTTCTGGGTCTGTGGAAAACTGAAAGCAAATGCCCAAGTTCTGAGAAGCTCAGGGTCAAGCATTACCCAATCAGTACTGCGCCAGGATGGCCCCGCCCTGCCTGCTGGAACAATCCCAGGTCTGACCCATCAGGTCCTTCTCCACTCAGCCCATCCTGCCTCCTTCAGGTTTCTATAAGGAAAACCTGCCACAGACAGACAGTGGGATCCTGGGTAAATTTCTCCCTCCACCCCATGGGCTTGTCCCCACAACCTTTGTCTCTCAACCCCCCCACGCCCCCAAATGCCCCCCCTTAGTCACCCTTCTGTCCCCAGCAATGAGCACATCCCTGAGCACAGCAGGTGCTCACTGCCTCCTTGCATTGCCTTGGTCCCTGCTCCTACTGAAGGCCCCACCCAGGCAGTTTCCAGACATTTGCTTATGTAGATTCTTCTGCCAGGAGCACCTGCTTCTCCCACCTGGAACAAGATGATTATCCTTCAAAGCCCAATTCTGGGATCACCTCCTCTGAGAAGCCCTCAGGCATCTTCCTCTCCCAGCAGCCACTGT